GTGGTGGTGCATGCCTGTAATCCCAGCACTCAGGAGGCAGAGGCACCAGGATTGCCACAAGTTTGAAGCCAGGCTGGGCTATACAGTGAGTTCAAGGCCAGCCTGAGTTACACAGTGAGACCCTATCTCAAAAAACAACAAAACTCAAAAAACCCAGAATCAAGAAGAAAATAGGGTGCCAAGAATATAGTTCAGCGGTAGAGTGGTTGCCTAACTTACCTTACACAAGGCCCTGGAAAGACACCCATATTAGAGATAACCAATTAAGATTGTGCCATATCTTTCTACATATATCCTAAATGTATGTATATATACATCCTTTTTAAAAATGGGATTATAATATACATATTATTTGGTAAACTATATTTTCCATTTATGAATAGCTTTTTTCTTTTTTTGAGACAAGGTCTCAGTAAATTGCCCAGGCTGGGCTCCAGTTTGCAATCCTGCCAGGCATGGTGGTGCACACCTGTCATCCCAGCACTCGGGAGGCGAAAGCAGGAAGATCGCTGTGAGTTCAAGGCCAGCCTGGACTGTACAATGAAACCCTGTCTCAAAAAAACCCCAAACTTGCCGTTCCCCTCTCTCAGCCTCCAGGAGTGAGGCATGTACCACCAGGCCCAGCTTGTGAATAGTTTTAATACCACTCAATGTGTGTTTTTGATACTAGAACTTTCCTTTTTTCAGTACTGGGGACCGAATCTAAAACCTTGTGCCTAATAAAAAAGCACTCTACCACTGAGCTACATCTTTTTACATTTTTTATAAAGGGTCTTTAAATTGCCATCCAGGCCTGGGGTGGTGGCGCATGCCTGTCATCCCAGCACTCAGGAGGCTGAGGCAGGAGTATTGTTGAGAGTTCGAGACCAGCCTAGGCTACAAGGGGAGCTCAAGGCCAGCCTGAACTGTGTAGTGAGACTTTGTCTTTAAAAAAGAAAAAAATGCCCTCCAACTTGTGCTTCTTCTGTCTCAGCAGCCGCCACTCCAGTAGATGTTTGTAATTATTTCTTAGAGTAAATTTCTGCGAAATTTTGCTTCCCAGAGATATTTAATGTCATTGATAACTTATATAGGCTTCTTGAGATACTTTATGCATAAATACCTGTTGGTATTATTTTACCTTTTTTTATACAAATGGTATTATACCACGCACATTCTGTACTTTTTTCCCTTCAGCATTATATTCATGATCAATCCATATCTCAGTCAAAGGATCTACAATTCTTTTTTTTGGTACCGGAAATCGAACTCAGGACCTTGCCCTTGCCAGGCAGGCACTTATGCCACTGAGCTATATCCCCAGCCCATCTGCAGTTTTTTAAAGGCTTTTCAGTCACCCTAAAGTGGTGTGGCATTATTCCCTGTCTTCCATCAGCTTCCATGCACAGAAACTTACCTTCGAAATGTTGCTACACACTTTCCTCTTGACTTATCCCTACGGGCACTAGCATCACTGGACAACCGGATTTCTGCAGAAATAGGGTTCTTTCACATGGTATTGCTCATGAACCCGTACACACACACATGCCCGGTCCCTGCCAAGCCTCTTCAGAATCTTTCATTTTTTAGAGATTGTTTCAATAGACAATACAGGGGGCTGGGGATTTAGCTCAGCGGCACAGTGCCTGCCTAGCAAGTGCGAGGTCGTGAGTTCGATTCCCGGTACCGGAAAAAAACAACAACAAAAAAGACAATACAGTCATATGGTTCAAAATTTATAAAAGATATATACTGGAAAGCTTCCCTCCCACCTTTTTTTCCCAGCACCCAGCATCTCAGGAGATGAGTCAGTTGTACCCATTTCTTATATGTCCTTCCAGACATATTTTGTGCCAAAATAAGCAATATATATGTATATATTTTTCACCCTTTTAAACATAAATAGTTCCATACTGTATACAATGGTTTTTGGGTTTTGTTTGCTTTTGTTTTGAGACAGGGTCTTGCTATGTAGCCCAGGCTGGCCTTGAACTCAAGCAACTCTGCCTCAGCCTCTCAAGTGCTGAAATTACAGGCGTGCGCCACCACACCTGGCCTGTATACAACATTTAACCCTCTTTTTAAATTAGTGTTACATCTTAGAGTACAGTATTTGTTTTGTTTTGGTTTGGTTTTTGGTCTTTTTGAGACAGGGTCTTGCTCTGCAGTTCAGGTTGGTCTTGAGCTCACTTTGTCGCCCAGGCTGGTCTTGAACTCACAACGATCCTCCTGCCTCAGCCTCCTCCCGAGTGCTGGGATTACAGGTGTGCGCCACCACGTGTGCAGGTCAGATAGTTTTAAAGAGCTTTAATCTCAGCTAGCTGTCATCTGGAAGTGATCTGATAAAATAATTCCTCTAAATCTGTTAACATAGTCCTAGACAGCACTCAGGAGGCTGAGGCAGGAGGATTGTTGCTTAAGGCCAGGTAGCCTAAACTGCGTATCAACACTCTGTCTCAAAAAGACCAAAAAGAAAAACCCCAACATATTAATAGAACTATGTAAGACCAAGAAGTCTTTTGATATTTTAGGTTTTAGGTATAAGAAGGATACTTTGGGATACAGGGACCTCCCTAGCAGTGACATTTGGTAATTCTTACTGATGACCCACTAGGTCCACAAAACGCTAGAAGGACAGTGTATAAAATACAAAGACCTGAAAGGAGAGAGTCTTCTGACAGTAAAATGGCACATGTGTCATAGCAGCAGCATAAGCAAAATCCGCCGGTTTGGGGAAGCTGTCATGGAGTTGGTGACACAGGATCTGGGGTGAGATGGAAGAAAGTCCTTCTCCGCAGAAGTTATAGTGTGTAAGCACAGTCCAGGAAGCCTCCTAGCATATGGCCCAACTTGGGGGCCATCTGTTCTTCAGTCATAACTGAAGTGTGGGAGAATGCTGGGCAACAGGAAAAGAAAGTTGGCAGATTTGACGTAGCCGTGAGCACTACGTCAAGAAATAAGAGCTTATTCTGTCAGTGTTTTGGAGCTACTACAAGGTTTTCTTTTTTGCAGAACTAGGGATTAAGCCTAGGGCCTCATCCATCCTAGGCAAATGCTCTATGACTGAGCCACATTCCTAGCCCTTTTTAAATTATTTTAATTTTTTTTTTTTTTTGAGACAGGGTCTCACTATGCAGTTCAGGCTGGCCTTGAGCTCACTTTGTAGCCCAGGCTGGCCTCGAACTCTAAAGATCCTCCTGCCTCAGCCTCCCAGAGTGCTGGGATTACAGGCCTGCGTCACCACGCCCGGTGTATATCATTTTATTTTGAGACAAGTTCTAAATTGCCCAGGCTAGCCTTGAACTTGTGATCCTCCTCCCACCTCAGCCTCTCAAATAGCTGAGTTTCAGGTGTGTGCCACCACGCCGTCACAGCAAGGTTTTTGAATAGAGAAAATTGACTTTTAGATAACTGGCACATTGTGAAAGATGCATAGCAAGTCCAGAGAGTACAGTGGCAACTAGGTGCTGATGATAAATCAACATGATTTACTAAGCATCTACTTTGTGTCTGTTTTTCTTGGACTATGATCTTAAGCCTCATATCACCGGTGAGGAGTAGCCATTAATACCCATTTTTTACAGATAAGGAAGTGAGTTCAACAGTATTAAATGACCTCCCCAGGATCACACAGCTATTAAGGAGCATACTGTGGTTCTATTATACCATATTTACTACACAGGGAGAAAGGAGAAGAGAGGATAATTTTTTTTTTTTTTTTTTTTGTCTTTTTGAGACAGGGTCTCCCTATGCAGTTCAGGCTGGCCTCAGGCTCACTTTGTAGCCCAGGCTGGTCTCAAACTCACAGCAATCCTCCTGCCTCAGCCTCCCTAGTGCTGGGATTACAGGCTAAGAGAGGATAAACCTTAAGTATTACTGTGCATATGCCTGTAATTCCAGCTCTCTGGGAAGCTGAGGCAGGAGGATCACAAGTTTGAACCCAGCCTGGACAACTTTTCAAGACCCTGTCTCAAGAAAAAAAAAAAAAATGTCGCTCAGTGAGAAGGGACTGGGTTCAATCCCCATACTAAATAAATAAAGAACTGCTAGGGTAGATTAAAGGAAGGAGGAAGGTTCAGGGAGGAAGCATAGAGAAAGACACCCACCTAATGATAAGCCCATGTTCAAGGTGGAGAGCAAGGGGCATTCTCAGGCTCCCGCCCTCCTCCCCATCTCTGTCCCCCACACAGTGACATGTCACAGAGTGGCATGCTGGCCCGCCTCGGTGACTTGCTTTTCTACACCATTGCGGAGGGACAGGACCGGATCCCTATCCACAAGTTCACTACAGTAAGTTCTCTGCCTGTGCTGAGTTCTCCCTTAGGACTGCGGGAATAGGGGAAGTAGAAGAGAAGGTGGACAGGTTCGGGGCTGCTCATGGGTTGCTACGGGAGGGTGAAGAGGACAAATTAGTCACAGATGCCTCAGGGTCGGGAGAGGAGACTCTGACTCTTGAAAAAGCAGGAAACCCTTGTCACCTTCAAAGCTGCTGCCTTCCCTCTCTCCCTGGTCTCCAACCCCATTCATTCCACCTGAGGCAGTAATTGGGGTTGAACTAATGGAGTTTTTATTTTTAAAATTTTTTTAATTTTTTTGTCTTTTTGAGACAGGGTCTCACTATGCAGTTCAGGCTGGCCTTGAGCGCACTTTGTAGCCCAGGCTGGTCTCGAACTCGCAACAATCCTCCTGCCTCAGCCTCCCAAGTGCTGGGATGACAGGCGTGCGCCACCACGCCAGGCTGCTCTAATGGAGTTTTTATTTATTGGGAAAAACATTTTAGATTACTGTCCTTGAATGATTTTACCTGGCCTCTTCTTCCCCTAAGGCTCTGAAAGCCACCGGACTGCAGACATCGGATCCCCGGCTCCGGGACTGCATGAGCCAGATGCACCGCATGGTCCAGGAGTCCAGCAGTGGTGGTCTCTTGGACCGAGATCTCTTCCAAAAGTGAGGGCCCCGGAAGAAGGGCACTGCTCCCAGAACTGTTCGGTGGACACAGAGTATCGGAGCGGCGGGGCTGGGGGCGGCTCTCCGGGATTGTACAGTTCAGCCTCTCATTTCGTTGGGTTTCTTGCTATACAAGTAAGATGTGAATACTCATTATAAAAGTTCAAACCATACGGAAATACAGTCTCCGTCCAGCCCTAGCCCCTTTGCCAGAAGTAAACAGTGTTAACAGGTCGGTGGACACCTCGGTCATGTCCTACACTGTCACCTGCACACAACTATGTGGAAATACGTCCTGTATTAGCTCCCCACATCCTCACAGCACCTCATTCTAGAAGTGAGGAAGCTAATCCCTCAGAAGGTAACGTGACGTGCCCGAAAGTCACACACCCGTTGGTCCCCAGCCAGTGCCCGCTCGCAGCCTGCTTTACTCCCAGCTTGCCCGGCTCCAGAGCGACCCCAGCCGCATCTCTCCAGCGCCCTGACGCAGCGTGTCTGGGATCTAGGTGTGTGAGCAGCAACATCGTGCTCCTGACCCAGGCTTTCCGAAAGAAGTTCGTCATTCCTGATTTTGAGGAGTTCACGGCCCATGTGGATCACATCTTTGAAGATGCCAAGGAGCTCACTGGAGGCAAAGTGAGGGCCAGGGAAATAAGGGAGGGGCAGGGGCGCTGGGGCAGGCAGGTCTTGCTTCTCAGAGACTTCCTTGGGCTGGGAAGCCCATGGATGAGTGAGACTCGAGAAACAAAACCTCTAAAAATGGAAACATGGCTTCATGTGTTTTTCGTTCGTTCTTTCTCTCTCTCTCTTTTTTTTTTTTTTTGTCTTTTTGAGACAGGGTCTCGCTATGCAGTTCAGGCTGGCCTTGAGCTCACTTTGTAGCCCAGGCTGGTCTCAAACTTGCAATGATCCTCCTGTCTCAGCCTCCCGAGTGCTGGGATTACAGGGGTGCGTCACCGCGCCCAGCTTTTCTTTCTTTCTTTCTTTCTTTCTTTCTTTCTTTCTTTCTTTCTATCTTTCTTTCTCCCTTCTTTCTCTTTCTAATTTTCCATGGGATTTACTGACATCCCCACAGGTTTGGGGCTACAAAAAGGTTGTAGGACTTAAGCCTTGTGTATTTCTGGGAGCGCTAGGCCAGAAAGGTGCTCATCTGCCATGCAAGAGACAGAATTTGGGCTTTTATCCAAAAGATTTCTTGACCTTGCACCTCAGCACTATTCTTCTCCATACCCACCTCCCTTTTCTCTACCCACTCACCCCAGGTGGCGGCCTACATCCCTCATCTGGCCAAGTCCAACCCAGACCTGTGGGGCGTCTCCCTGTGCACCGTGGATGGTCAGCGGTGAGATGCCGGGCAAGGGGATGGGGCGGCAGGGCGCGAGGGCGGAACAAAGGCCAACCTCTTTCCTGGCGCTGTCTGCCTCCAGGCACTCCGTGGGCCACACTAAGATCCCCTTCTGCCTGCAGTCCTGCGTGAAGCCCCTCACCTACGCCATCTCCGTAAGCACTCTAGGTACTGACTACGTGCACAAGTTCGTGGGCAAGGAGCCCAGCGGCCTGCGCTATAACACGCTCTCCCTCAACGAGGAAGGTGAGCGGCCCCAAGACTCACACCAGACACTTCTCCACCCGCTTCTTCAGACTTCTGTTCCTTTGCTTTTCGCCCACCAAGGACTAATCCTGCCTGATCCTGCTTGGCTTCTGAGATCAGACGATATTGGGGTGTACAGCCATGGCCGCTTTTGTTTTTCCTGATTAGTGCTGCCGTTCCTTTCTCCCTGGCAAAGAAATCCTTCTTGGGCAGGCTGTAAGGATGCTTTGGCCGGTGGCTGACAAGACTGCGGGTGATTTGTATTTCCCCAGGAATCCCCCATAACCCCATGGTCAACGCTGGTGCCATTGTTGTGAGCTCCCTGATCAAGGTCAGTGCCCCCCTAATCCTTTGAAAGGTACTGTTCTCTGAGCCCCCCGTCCCTGGATTCCTCATAGCTGTTCAGCTTTCCAGGGGGACCAGTGAAGCCTTGATTCCTTTGTGTTCTCGAGAAGAGTGAGTGCACCGCAGGGACCCACGTTTTCCACCAAGGATGTCAGTAGGAACGGACTGCGCCCCCGCCCCACTCTCACCCGTGCTGTCTCCTGCCCCCACCGCGAGTCTGGAGCCCAAAGCCTCCTGGCCCTTGCCGAGAACCAAGGGCTCAATGCCAGAGGCAGGGGGAGGACAGCACCATTGGGCATTGATTGGCCACTTCTGAGTAAGGGACACATGGAGAGGAGGTGAATGGCCAGACCAGGGCAGCTATTCGCGTCACCTGGAGCTGTGAGTTGGCCTTGAACAAGGTGTCAGACGGGGCCAAGAGCTTGGGAACAGTGTGGGCAGCAGCACTCGGAGCCAATCACAGCCCCTCGTGGGGAAGGTGGTGTTAGGAACCCTCCCCCAGGGCATCAGGTGTCAGAGTCCCTGTGCTGTTGACTCTGTAGCTGACGCAGGAAGCAATGAGTCGGGATGAGGGAGGCCAGGGCCAGCCTGCCGTCGTGTTCTGGGATGGCTGTGTCCACCGCCCTGTACCTGGGACCTGGCTCATCCCACACACCCCCAGGCAGCCATAGTAGACATGATTCTCAGCCAAAATCTTTTTTTTTGTCTTTTTGAGACAGGGTCTCGCTATGCAGTTCAGGCTGGCCTTGAGCTCACTTTGTAGCCCAGGCTGGTCTCACACTCACAGCAATCCTCCTGCCTCAGCCTCCCGAGTGCTAGGATCACAGGCGTGCACCACCACGCCTGGCATCAGCTAAAATCTTAGCCTCAGTGCCGGGGGTGTAATTCAGTGGCAGAGTGTTTGCCTCACGCAGGTGAGGCCTTGTGTTCAATCCCCAGCATGACCAAAAAACCCTTCAGCTTCACTGAACATTATAATGAGTAGTCCTACTTCTGTCACTCCATCCAGTCTTGGAGATTGTCAGGAGTGCTGGGTAAAGCTCTCCCATGAGGTACAGGGAATGGGGATGGGAATCAGGGCTAGGGATGGGACAGGAACAGAGCTGGAGTCAGGAAAGTGAAACTGGGAATCTGGAATGGGGGCTCAGGTTGAGGACAGAAGTAGCCAGGCTGACAGACGGAGGGAGGTGATCGGGTTAACAGCCCTTAGTTACTGCGGGTGATCAGGCCCACAGTCTCCCAAAGGAGCAGACGGCGGAGGCTTACATAAATGAGAGTGATGAAATGATTTCAGGGCTCCAGGAGGGTCTGTCTCTCTTACAATAGTTAAGATTCTCTGGGTTAAGACCCAGACTTCCCTGGGCAGCCTGTATTTATTAGGTTTTCAAACAAAGGAGGAGGACACTGAAGAAAATGCAGTGAACAAGGGTGTCAGACAGGGCAGGACTGGGCAGGACTTGGGAATCCCTTTAAGGACCTCTCCAAGTAATATTTTATGTTAATTTTGGAGAACTGTGTTATCTCCAGGAAGGCCTTCACTGCAGGAGTGAGATGCCTGCAGCTATAGCCTCCTTATAGATAATTGAGGTTGGAGCCAAATGTTCTCAGCTATGGCCTTATCTTGTCCTTTGAGGCACCCCAACTTCACAGGCCAATACAGGCCTCAGCAGGGACCAGTGACTCATAGAGGTTCACTTACTGTAAGTCCACTGCCCTTCAAAGGACAAGGGCCTAAGCTTTGAACAACTCCCAAGTAAACATGGAAAGCCAGCTGGTTAAAATTAGGGGCTGGGGATTTAGCTCAGCGGCACAGCACCTGCCTTGGCAAGCGCAAGGTTGTGAGTTTGATTCCTGGTACTGGAAAAAACACAACAACAACAACAAAAAAAATTGGTTAAAATTAAATCCTGCTCAGAGCTGCTTCACAGTGGTCCCCATCATGAGGTTATCTATATTTTCATTTCATAATAAAATTCAGAGTCAGTTGTTAAGATCAGTAGATACACATGGATACAAGAAGGTCTCTCAGTTGCTTAAAAAGAAAAAGTTCGCCGGGTATGGTGGTTCACACCTATAATCCCAGCACTTGGGAGGTTGAGGCAGGAGGATCTTTGTGAGTTCGAGACCAGCTCACCAAAGTGAGCTCAAGGTCAGCCTGAACTGCATAGCTAGACCCTGTCTCAAAAGAGAAAAAAGAAAAAGTTCACCAGGGCATGGTGATGAGCACCTGTAGCCTTAGCTACTTGGGAGGATTGACCCCAAAAAATCCAGACCAGCCAGGCAACATAACAAGGCCCCATCTCAGGAAAACAGAGATGAAAGCAAGGTCCCGGTAACATTTCCAGTAGCTAGTCTAACGCTTTAACTCTGCTGGTCCTTCGGACCCCCTCCCAGGCTTGGGTACTGACGTCTTTCTCTCTCCACAGATGGACTGTAACAAAGCGGAGAAGTTTGACTTTGTAAGTTCCCCTGCTGCTCAGCTGCTGGCTGCCGTTTGCCATGGCATGCTGTCCTCTGCAGCTGTCCCAATGACTGGCCCTAAGCCCAGTACTGGGCGCACCTGCCCATGCCAGGAGCCTTCTGCCCAGAGGAGGGGGAACCTGCTGGCCTGAGATGAAAGCCTCTCGCGTGCCTGCTCTCCGTGGTGGAGCTGGTTCAGGAGGGGTCCTTAGTCGAGCCGCGCCTCCCTTCCCCCTGTTCTCTTCCAGGTGTTGCAGTATCTGAACAAGATGGCTGGGAATGAGTATATGGGTTTCAGCAATGCCACGTAAGGCCCTGCGCAGAGGGTTGGCCGAATGCACGCTGGGGTTGTGTGTGTATGGACACAGGAGAGGAGGGGAGGGGCTGGAGAGAGAGGGAATGAATGTGAATCTTGGGAGGAAGAAAGTCCAGGGGTGCTGGGTATAGCAGTACACACCTATAATCCCCACACTCAGGAGGCCGAGGCAGGTTTGCTGCAAGCTCAGGCCAGCCTGGGCTATGTACCAAGACCCTGTCTCAAAAAAAACAAAATTTTTTTTTTCAGGGGAAACTTTGGCCTCCCAGCTTCCTTAGAACCCCTCATTGGCATTGTTTATTTTGGCTTTGTTTGTTTTGTCTTTTTGAGATAGAGTTTCCCTATGCAGTTCAGGCTGGCTTGGAACTCGCAGTGATCCTCCTGCCTCAGCCTCCTGAGTGCTGGGATTACAAGCGTGTGCCACCACACCAGGCCCGCATTGTTTACTTTGTGAAATAATTTCTTTTTTAATTAGCATGTATGAAATGAGAGGCAGCATGGTGGTTTATGCCTAAACCCTTGCCAAGACTCAAAGCCAAAAACCTTACTAGTGTTCCTAGACTAGACAGCTTCAGGTGTTTTTTTTTTTTTTTTTAATTTTATTTACAACAAAGGTTGTAATTTTATTTTACATCAAAGATGTGTGGAGTGTTTGCTCAGGCTCAGAAGTTTCCTTTCATGTTACTGTGCGAGGTAAACAAGGGGCCAGTTCCATCTGAGGTGTGTGTCGTTCTGTGTCTCTGCGGAGATAGCGTCTCCACTCCTCCCCACGTCCACCTCTCAAACATGAAGCGCTAAATTGGGTATCTGCTTCAGATTCCAGTCTGAGAAGGAAACGGGGGATCGCAATTATGCCATCGGCTATTATCTCAAGGAAAAGAAGGTAACTGGGAGAGAACAGAGAACGCGCCTGGGAATTCTGCTGGTGGAGGAAGGGCAGCAGGGACCGGGGACCTCGGCCGAGACCCCGACAGGTGCAAGGGGCCGTCGCTGGTCTGAAGAGAGCTCTCCCTTCTTCCTTGCAGTGCTTTCCCAAGGGGGTGGACATGATGGCTGCCCTTGATCTCTACTTCCAGGTAAGCGAACCCCCTCAGGACAAGAGAACAGGACAGACAGACTGACGGCTTCACACAGGGAAGCCGCTGAGAGGTCTGAGGGCCAAGGGCACGTCCACACTGCACCTCCGCCTCCCCCGTCCCCACAGCTGTGCTCCGTGGAGGTCACCTGTGAGTCCGGCAGCGTCATGGCCGCCACCCTGGCCAACGGCGGGATCTGCCCCATCACCGGCGAGAGCGTGCTGAGCGCCGAGGCAGTGCGGAACACCCTCAGCCTCATGCACTCCTGCGGCATGTACGACTTCTCCGGACAGTTCGCCTTCCACGTGAGTGTTTCTGCCCCGCCCTCCACCTGCCGTGAGCCCGGTGCCAAAGAGAGGACCCTGCACGCTGACGAGGCAGCGGGGGAGATGGCTTTCCGCTGGCCAGGCAGCCAGGCCGAGTGCCCTTAGGGGAAGTCGTCAGACCGTGTTCCTCGGGTCCACAGACAAGGGTGGTGCAGCTTCAGAAATGCCTTTGTGCCCTTCCCACCGTGGCTGTCTCCTGGAGTCTCAAACTTGAAGTCTAAGGAGAGGCTTTTTCTTTTGGCATGCTGACCAAGCACTCTGCCCCTGAGCGACACCCCCTACGAGGTTTCCCTGGCTGCCTTGTCTCAAGTGGGCCCGCCCTGCCTCTACTCACAGCACCCTGCTTTTTTTCTTCTGTCTATCACATTGTCTGTCTCCTTGCGCTTGCGCGTTTATTACCTCTCCTACCATCAGAAAGTAAGTTGGATGAGACTTGTCCTGTTTTTAAGCACACCGGCCACCACAGAATGCCGCTAATAGCTCAGTACATTTCCTAACCAGCCGGGCGTGGTGGCGCACTCCCATAACCCCAGCACTCGGGAGGCTGAGGCAGGAGGATCGTTGCCAGTTCGAGACCAACCTGGGCTACAAAGTGAGCTCAAAGCCAGCTGAAATGAATAGCGAGACCCTGTCTCAAAAATAAGACAAAAAAAATGAAAAGACAAAAAAAAAATTTCCTACCTGTATCAGTGAATGGAGTGGGGGGGAGGGTGCCGGTGAGAAGCTAGTAAGTCGTAAGTTGAGGTGGTCGGTGGCCGTGCCAATACAGTCCCTTAGAACAGCCTGCCTTGTTACTTTCCTAGATTTACAGGACTCTTAACTCATCCTCAGCTTCAAATTTGCTCCCCAGGTGGGCCTGCCAGCCAAGTCAGCTGTGTCCGGGGCCATCCTCCTGGTGGTACCCAACGTGATGGGAATGGTGTGCCTGTCCCCGCCACTGGACAAGCTGGGGAACAGCCAGAGGGGGATCAGCTTCTGCCAGGTGAGGCGCTCCGCGTGAAGTACTTCCTATTTTCTAAGTAAGCAGCAAGCTGATTTAATAGTTGCTACTCTGATAAAGTAATGTTAAGCTCCTACCAAGTTCAAGAAGCAAACCATATACTCGGGTTACAATTCTAGAAGCTGGTGTCTCTCTTCAACTTCCACAACTACGACAACCTACGGCACTGTGCTCGGAAACTGGACCCACGGCGCGAGGGGGGCGAAGTTCGGGTAAGGGATTTGGAAGATATTTCAGAATAGAACATTCCATGACGCTTTGGCCATACCTTCGGCTGAGGACCCATGGGGTAGGGCAGAAAGCACAGCTGGGAATCAGTGGCTTCAAAGCCACGATCTGAGGTGGGTCTGCTTTGTGTTCTAGAACAAGACAGTGGTGAACCTGTTATTTGCCGCCTATAGTGGAGATGTTTCAGCTCTTCGAAGGTAACTGCTGTGACCAGATGTATGTAGTAAGATACTCCTGGGCAGAGATCTTACTAGGAGGCAACATAGCGAAATAGTTAAATGCTTCATCTTGAGGTTTAGCCAGAATGGACATAGATTGCATTTAAGAGAGACATTATTGCTGGGCATGGTGGCACACGCCTGTAATCCCAACACTCAGGAGGCTGAGGCAGGAGGATCGTTGCGAGTTGAGACCAGCCTGAGCTACAATGTGAGCTCAAGGCCAGCCTGAACTGCATAGTGAGATTCTGTCTTAAAAAAAAAAAAAAGAGAGATTATTTTTAAAAAGTAAAGTGCCTGCCATATAAGAACTTAATTCATGGCAGTCACTGTCATTAACTTCAATGTTAAGAGAACAGTCCTTAGTAAGCAGGGTTCCTGCCTCAAGTGATTACCAACATCAACAAAATGTGCCACTGAGTGTGGTGGTGCACACCTGTAATCCCAGCACTCAAGAGGCTGAGGCAGGAGGATCACCATGAGTTTGAGACCAGCCTGGCTACACAGTAAGACCCTGTCTCAAAAAGAAACAAAAAATTGTGCCATTTATAGTGATATGTCTGGAAGCATCATATTCTCATCTCTCTGTCATGAGAGTAAGTCTCACTTGGTACGGAACACAAGCTATACGGGGCGTATGGGTCTTGGCATAGACTGTTTTACTTTTTCTGACCCTACTTCAGAAAGGACACCAGTGATTCTAAACGGATGTGGTTAATCCTACCAATTCCCACTCCCCTCAGGTTTGCCCTGTCGGCTATGAACATGGAACAGAAAGACTATGACTCCCGCACAGCTCTGCATATTGCTGCAGCCGAAGGTACCTGGAGGATCAGAGTGGGGAGGCAGGGCAGGCAGAAGGCTTTATCTACCTCTAAGAGCACTCTCACGTCCCTGAGGTTACAGGTTTGTCCAGATGGCCTGCAGCTGGCAGCTACACTGTTTATTATTGGGTCTGGCAGGAAGCAAAATGGGAAGATTTTTCTCCTCCTTCTTGGTACACTGCAGCTGCCTAGGGTCTGAACCAAAGGGCTCAGGACCCGTACCCTCTTATTTTCCTTCTCCTCATATTCCTAGGCCACATTGAAGTTGTTAAATTTCTGATCGAGGCTTGCAAAGTGAATCCTTTTGTGAAGGACAGGTGAGTAGGCTTCGTCTAAGAGGGGCAGAGTGGCACCGCCTCTCCACACTGCCCTGCAGCCATGGTAACCCTGTCTTCTTCGCCTGACCGTGATCACTGGTCCTTCGTAGGTGGGGCAACATTCCCCTGGACGATGCTGTGCAGTTCAACCACCTGGAGGTAGTCAAACTGCTGCAAGATTACCAGGACTCCTACACACTCTCTGAGTCTCAGGCTGAGGCAGCGGCTGAGGCCCTGTCCAAAGAGAACTTAGAAAGCATGGTGTGAGCAGAGGTCACGGACAGAAGAAGCACGAACTGGCCACTTACTTGACTCATAAACATCAAAGTGCTATGTAGGGCTGCTTCAGTGGGGACCAAGAAAGCCATATGGTGACACAGGCCAGTGATTTGCATCAGATACCCCAATCCTTCAGCAGATAGAAAAGAGAAGGACCAGAAGATGCCTACAATAGAGCTATCTACAGAGCTTCAAGGTATGGCCTAATGGACCGGCTCACTCAAAACTGTCCCAGGTCTTCACCCAGGTCCCCTTTTCCTCCTGCTGAAGAAACCACCAGGACAGAGAGATACTCCAGTGAAGAAACTCTAACTACCACGAACACGTATATATCACAGAACAAGAGAAAGGGGTCTCTGCACTTGGCTTCAGCAGACTGAAGAGATCTGTCCCCTTGGCCAGGACATGCTGCTGCTACTGCTAACCATTTTACAGACAGAGAAAGTACTTTGCGCTCAAATAAACTTTAATGACACAAATTATTATTTTTGCTGAATTCTCCCCTAGAGGTATCCGGCTTCATCACCATCACAGAAGGTAGACTAAGACAGAACCACAGCATCAGACAGCCCACACGATACATATTCCGTGCACATGTTCACTTACCCCACCAGGTTTTCCTCAGCCCTGAATAATGCTTCAGGTTAAGTGTATTCTGTCGCCAAGGGGAAAGGGGTTTGGATCGGAACAGACCCAAAAATGGATGCTGCAAAACCTGGGGCCTTCCTCTTTCCTCTGAAGTTTTAACTGTGGCAGAAATTAAGACAGAACTTCCCAGGAATAAAGTTGCTGGCACTGATCCCCCAGGTATCAGTCTAGCGTCTCTTCCCTTTGGTCACAGTTGTAACTGGCAGTGATTAGGACAGATGCCTCGGTGTCAGGGTGAGGACTGCTGCAGCCATGTGGGGCTGAGGGTCTGTGCATGGAGGTACAGGGAAGGAGGGCTGTGTTCTCACTCAGACCTACTGAGTCATTAAAGCACTGACGGAACCAGAGCCCACACTCTGCAGGTGCTGTAGAGAAAGGTCCAAGTCACTGACTGTACAGCGCCTACAGCCAGAGGTAGAAATGATTCACTTTTTTTTTTGTCTTTTTGAGACAGGGTCTCGCTATGCAGTTCAGGCCAGCCTTGAGCTCACTTTGTAGCCCAGGCTGGTCTCAAACTCACAACAATCCTCCTGCCTCAGCCTGAAATAATTCACTCTTGAGAGATGTGGTACAGCCCTCAAAACAACTTACACGTGGGTGTAAGGAAGGAGAGGTAATACAGTGATGAATACATAATTGAAACAGCTGAAAGACAAGACTCCAGAGCCAGGCATGGTGGCGCACACCTGTCATCCCAGCACTCCTGAGGCTTAAGCAGCAGGATCCTTGCAAGTTCTTTTTTGTTTGTTTGTCTTTTTTTGCGGGGTGGGGGTGAGGTCTTGTACCAGGAACCGAACTCACAACCTTGCACTTGCCAGACAGGCGCTGTGCCGCTGACCTAATCCCCAGCCCCTTTTTTGTCTTTTTGAGACAGGGTCTCACTATGCAGTTCAGGGTGGCCTTGAGCTCACTGTGTAGTCCAGGCTGGTCTCAAACTTGCAAGGATCTTCCTGCCTCAGCCTCCCAAGTGCTGGGATTATAGGCATGTGCCACCACGCCCAGTGATCCTTGCAAGTTAGGGTTAGACCAGCCTGGGCTATAAAGGGAGCTCAAGGACAGCCTTAACTGCATAGCAAGACCCTGCCTCAAAAAGGGAAAAAAAAAAAAGACTCCAGAACTGAATAGTCTCACAAAGGCCTGAGGCTGGACAGGCAGAGACTGAAGAAACCAAGTCAGGGAACATATGTCCACGGTTGTCCAGGGAACTGGCAGTACTCTGAGGGGAAAGCTTGGCTGTATGCTTAGCTCTCTCCGGGAAGGAGATAGAAGACCACGACTTAAGAGAATGCACAGGACTTGACACTGAACCGTGGGGGCAGAGGTTGCTTCGGGCAATGTAAAACAGTCTCAGACACTTGGAACTGAAAGCTGGCCAAGAGCACAATTAATTGGGGACTCCAGTAAGGCACCCATTAGAGACCCTCAGGCACCTCAAGCCCGGAATGAGTCAGGAGCTCTCCGTCCCAAAGAGCAAAAGCAGGCACCACTGGTCCCCGGAAATCTGTCTGTAGCGTGTGGACCACAGAGACCCGGCTCACATCCACCAGGCTCAGCTTCTGGGCCTCATACTCCAGCAGCAGCCCCACCTTCTCGGGCTGCCCGATGCCCTCGATCGGGGCTTTCTCGTTGGCCAACATGCTGTGCCACTTGCGCTGGGCGTAGGAGAACACCCACGATCGGTCGTCAACACCGATGCAGCTATCCCGGGCCAGGTCCGCATCTGCCACTCCTATTCGGAACTGCTGGGAGCGCTTCACTGTCACTTCCCAGTAGTGTCTGCCACTGGTGACCGCTGTGTCCGCCAGCACCACAGCCCACTCCCGGAACCGCTCCACGTTCAGGGCTACCTTGGTGGGCTCCAGTCCCACCAAGCCGTATTTGACACCCGTGTCACCTCTGAAGAGTGCCAGACTGCTGTGGGCGGTTTTTTCTTCCAGTTTGAAACTGATGCCTGCGGGCAGAGCAAAAAGACTGGATAATGACAGAGCTCTAGGGCTGGCGATAGGCTTCCATCTGACGCAGGCAGCCAGAAGATCACGAGGAATGTCAGGCAGGCGAGAAAGGGGAGGATGTCGCTTTAGTACGGGAAGCCCAAGGGGCCGAAAACCTCGGACTGGGGAACCCTGCCCTCAAAAAAAAAAAAATCCCCAAGGTTTGGAATCTCAAAGCAGATGAGGGAGGAGAAAGAACTCCAGGGGGTTGGAGTTCTCTGGGCAGGCTCCGAGAATAAAAACGAAGTATTTTGGAGGCAGAAGAGTAAAAGGTGATAACCCTACCTCTCCGGGAGTCCCCGGGGGCAATCCCCCATCGTTTCGCTGCCCAGAGGCACAAGCGCCAAGAACGCGCAAAGGGCAGCGCCATCTTGCGCCACGGATGCGCAGGACACGCCCCGGCGCCGAAGACGGCCTACTTCCGGCAGCTCCCGGGCGTCGCGCAGTGAGATGACGTAAGGGGTCCAAGGCCGTCAGGGGGAGCCGACGTCACAGTGGTTCTGACGTTCTGACGCAGAGTGTTGGGAGGAGTGCCGATCACGTTTGAATCAAACAGGACCAGCCGAGATAAGGAGTAACCAGATGTTTCCAACCATGTATTCTAGAATTAAGTGACAGGGGCTGGGGATTTAGCTCAGCGGCACAGCGCCTGTCTGGCAAGCGTAAGGTTGTGAGTATCGTGAGTTCGATTCCCGATACCGGGGAAAAAAAAAAAACGAACAACAACATAGAATTAAGCAATAATGAGGTGAGCCAGGCTTCCGTGTGTGGCTCTGGGCAAATAGCTTAAATTTTGTGAGCCTTAGCATTTTCATTTGTGAAACAAATAATGAATCTCATATCTTCCTACAAAGAAGTTCTGGGTTCGATCCCCCACCTCTCAAAATAATAATAGTAATAATTTAGAATACAGCTTGGCGCCGGACATGGTGGCACACGCCTGTAATCCCACCACTCGGGAGGCTGAAGCAGGAGGATCGTTACGAGTTCGAGACCAGCCTGGGCTACAAAGTGAGTTCAAGGCCAGCCTGAACTGCATAGCGAGACCCTGTCTCAAAAGGCCAAAAAAAAGGGGGGCTGGGGATTTAGCTCAGCGGCACAGCGCCTGCCTGGCAAGTGCAAGGTCGTGAGTTCGATTCCCGGTACAGGGGGGGAAAAAAAAAAAAAAAAAAAAGAAAGAAAGAAAAGAAAAATAGAATACAGCTTTGCAAATAGCAATCACTGAGTAAGTGGCAGTTTATAGTAAGTACTGACTAAATAAGTAAATAAATAATGTACATGTTGGTTTTGTATTTTCAGGCCTGAAGGAGGATAGTTAATGGGAATTATCGGGGTGTTTTTTGAGACAATATTACTGTGTAACTCAGGCTGGCCTCTAACTCTCAGCAATCCTGCCACAGCCTCTCAAGTGCTGGCCTAGGCCGGTAATATGGTATTTTGGTTTAGGGTGGCACAGGTATTAGGTGATTGTATAAACATTTTGATCTGCTTGAAGCCTTGTGTCTCTTGCTTTCTAAATGTTTCAATCCGTTTTACTTCTCAGGGTTATAATGAGCTCAATATCAACGTCCCGCCTCCACCCTCCCACCCCTTGAGTGATTTTAGATTTTTAAAAGCCTAAAAATTTGCTGGGCAAGGTGGTGCATTCCTGGAATCCCAGCACTGTGAGGCTGAGGATGGCCAGAACTTGGAGGGCAGCCAAGCTGCCTAGGTCAGGACTGGCCTGGACTGCATAGCTAGGCCCTGGCTCGGAGAGGAAAGGAGAGGAGAGAAGGGGAGGGGAGGGGATGGGTGGGCACGGAAAGGAAAGGAAAGGAAAGTGGAAGGGAGCTGGATGTGGTGGTGCACGCCTGCAATGGGGAGGCAGAGGCAGGAGAATTGTTGTGAGTTGGAGGCCAGTCTGGGCTACAAAGTGAGCTCCAGGCCAGCCTGAACTTCAAAAAGACCGAGAAAAAAAAAAAAAAAAAGAGGGAGGGGACGGGTGAGGAGGGGAGAGCGGGTAAGGGATGGGGAGGGGAAGAGGAGGGGAAAGAAAAGGAAAGAGGAAAAAAAAAGCCTAAAAATTTAACCAAAAATTCTTCTGCTGTCCAAGTTCTAACAACTCTTCCAGGGGTCTTGGCCCTGGTTCAGATCACTGTCATCCATGGCCTGAATGAGGATTTTGTCATTAGAGCAAAAAAGTTTTAATGTGTAGCATGGTAGCTCCATCTGATTCTGCACAGTCAGAGTGAAATTTCAAAGCACAAATCAGATCCTACCACTCCCCTACCT